CGTGAACGGCCTACTCCGGTAGGTTAGCTGCGAATAACCAATAAGCAGTCCCAGACCAAGAGTGGCAGGAGACGAGGGCCTGATTTAAAAGATCAGAAATGCTTGATGAATCTCCTGTGTCCAAGCGAACAGATGCCGCCTCCCAAAAAGCATCCCAGGATTGAGACCAGGTAGATCCTGTTCATGGCATACTGGAGCATGTATACGATTAGTTTGATATTGGGCTGGCGAGAGCAGTATTCCGCCACTTTAGTATGTGAGGGTGACACCTCACAGAAATGGCTGGTGGGCTAATGCTGCAATCGCCTCCGTCTCGTTAAAATCCTGGCAGGTCTTCAAGTACATTCAATACACGTCGCCATTTAGTTGGCCGCACAGGTCCAGTTGAGATTTACTCCTGGTTTTGCGCTGTCTTGGCTCTGAACACAATATCCCATAAGGACTTGTGTCAACCCTCGCGATGGCCTGCTCCTTTGAGAGAAGGGAACTTCGGGACACTTAAATGCGACTGTGCTACGTGTGGAGATAGCGGCTTGAAGCGGAGAACCAATTGATTGGAAATGAATAAAATAAAACAAATAAATGAAACCATCGTCGATGTTATGGAGGAAGAATGCAGCGCATTCAGGAAGAGCAGTAGAGTCGTACGCTCCCCGCCACAAACTCCCTTTGCAGGCAAATGCTGGCACCACGAGCACGGAGAAAGCCGCCGACGTGGCGCAGAAGGCTACGCCTTGCCAAACGGTAACTCCCGGCAGCCGAGATAGTCGTCTTCAAACGCCGGCTGCTGCAAACAGCGACAAGCATGTCACCGCAAGCTTGGGAACTTGCGAAGGCAATGAAGATGACCAATTGGCCCAGATTCGGCTCGTCTTGAAGAAGATGCAGAGCGCTGTCTCTAAACAGAAGAATGTGTCCATGGACATAAAAACGGGTATGGCCCAAATCGAGGAGAGCTTAACTATATTAAGCTACCTCCGAGAGCAGCGCCGGAAGGGGTCTACCCTTTCCGAGCAGCGGAAAACTGGCCCTGGCTCGCAAAAGAGAGCTCGAACTCGATCCGACACCCCTACAGGCGAGCCGGAAAAGAAAAAGAACACTAACTATAATAATAATAGTAGTAATAAGATTATTATTAATAATGGAAATAATAATAATGGAAATAAAGATAATAATGCAAAGAAAACCGTACCAGATAATCAATGGAAAACGGTTGGAAAAAGCAGAAAGCCCAAGCCAGGGCTAGCGCCAGGTAAACCCTTGGTCAACAAGGGCGAGGCGACCAGCCGCAAAAAAAAAGAATAGGGTGAGAAAAAAGAAGAGTCTGGCTAAATTAATCATTAAGCCAGCTGAAGGCAAAACCTATGCAGAGGTGCTGGGAACGTTACGTGGTAAGCTCCAACCCGAGAAGTCGGAGACCGTAATTCGATCTGTTCGGAAAACCCGCGAAGGCGGCGTGCTTATCGAAATGGAGCGCTGTGGCGACCACTCAGCATTTAAGGAAAATGTGTGCACTGCCATTGGCCAGCTTGGAGACGCCCGTATTCTCACTAGACGTTTACGTCTAG